AACCAAAAAAAGTTGCTCTGCTGTACAGTAGGTTACAAATGGGTCACTGTAATGGATGGTGTTAAATTTGAATTCAATGATATTATATAATATCATTGTATAAGAAAAACGATTCTGAGCGAAAACGGTAAGTCAGCCTAAGATATTACTAAGTATATTTGATGACGTTAAGGTGAATTAAGTAATTTATATATAATCTACTTGGGTGGAATCTTGTTTTAAATTTTCAATCTTTAGCTATAAAAGTTGAATGTTTTATAAATGTTTAACTACAAAATTATTATTAAATTTTAAATGTGATAAATTTTGTCAAAATTTGAACTTTGAATGCTTATAAAAAAAAATTGTGCCTATGCATTTTTAATATTTTTCAATTGCTATTGTGAAAATATATCAGGAGCCTTGTATTAAATTTTCATGGTTTTTTAAACAACAAATACAATTTTATTGATTTTTATAGAAAAAAAACTAAAAAAATTGAAAACTGACAATGTCCGTAAACAGCTCAAAAAGAGTCAAATTATTTTCAAAATTGTATGGTGTATAAAAAATGCTAATATAAACATTTAGTGAAATTTTCAAGTGTTTACAGTCACTGGTTTTTTAATTACAATAAAATAAGAAAATTGTTACACGAGAAATCGAGTGAATATCAAATGTTGTAAAATAATGAATTTCAAACACTCATAAATATTTAATTTGAGTTTCTTGTAGACATTTTTTTCTTGTTGATAAAGGTAGATTATCTTATAAGGAATGTTTTTACGTTTATATAAAATAGCTTTATTAGCCTAAATATTGAATAACAAAATAAAATATAATACAGACATTTTATTATCATTAAACAGTGGGATATCCTATATATTATTATAAACAAAATAATATTAGATTTTCGTGAGTCCAAATAAATTTCATATAACGTAAGCCTATATCCCTATTGTGATCTATGCTGATTGAAAAACGAATTTATAACCTTCCCCGAGTCTTAATAAATCTATTGATATAACCTTTATTTAAAACGTTCCAGTAGTTTTTGAGTCCTTAGAAAACTTACAGACAAACAAAAAAAAAGGGGCTCTGCTGTACAGTAGGTTACAAGTGGGTCACTGTTTAATGGATGGTATTAAATTTGAATTCAATGATATAATATTATTGTATAAGAAAAACGATTCTGAGCGATGTGTCTGTCTAGGTATAACACATAATATATACATATCTTGGTATTAAAAAAAATTAGGTAACTATAATAGATTCCAAATTAATCATATCACAATATCCATTAGGTACTTATAACGCGTTATACATCAACAACAAACACTGATCTTATCATAGACATACGATGGTGTACTTTAGAAGTTTCAAGACATCAGTTTCACAACAAAATAAATAAAATAGTTATTCTAGGTTTTTTATTATGTAATTTCGTCCAAATTTGAGCTCAAAATGACTATAAAAATAAACTGTGCTTATGTATTTTTTAGATTTTTTTGATAACAGAATTAACTACTTACGTGGAGTCTCGTTTTAAATTTTCAATTCTTAGATATAAAAGTTGAACATTTTATAAATTTTTAACTACAAAATAATTATTCAATTTTAGATTTGATACATTTTGTCAAAATTCGATCTTTAAATGCTTATAAAAAAATTATACTTATCATGTATAGAAATTTTGAAATATAAACAACCAGTGAAAATGGCATGTATTTACGGTCATTTGTTTTAAAGTTACACCAAAAACAAAAATCGCTTTTGTAAAAAATCCATTTTGAGTAAAAATTCCCGGTTTTCCTTAATTTTTCTTTTGTTTTTCACTTCACTTTTGAAAATTACTGGGAATTTTAAATTTTGACCTCCCCAATGCACCAACAATATTCAGTATTCACTCTAAAATCGAACAAGATACTGACGTTGAAAATCGAAGCATTATTTCGACTACTTATCGTGTACATAGACACAAAAAAAAAATTTTAAATAAAAAAATTTAGAAAAACACACATCATTGTAAAATCAATACATTTATCTTTCCACACAGAATCTAAAACAATCCTTTTATAAGTGTAAATATCGCTGTCCTCATATAATATTTTTTTTTATATATTTATTTTGATTTATTTAACCAAATAAGTAAGACTTTAGATAATATAGAAATAATGTTTCTAAAATATAGAAAAAAATATTATTTTTATCAATTTAAAATAAATTGTTAAGCCAAAAAACAAAATTAGTGGGTTACATGGTTTAATTGTTATTTTTGTGTGATTAAATCATATTTATAAATATACAATGTTTACATAATATAATGTTTAATGAATGCATCATTTAATGAGCTGTACAACATTTATAATGATTCATTTTTACAGACATTGTTTTCTTATAAACGTAAAATAAAAAATGAATAATTCCTATTATATTATAGGGATTAGCAACTAAAGCTAGTATACGAAGGCAGAGCAATTATAGTTTGATCGAGTGACCTTTTTCGGGACGTCATAAGGAGCGGAATTCGTCTCGACTTATTCTGGACTGCTTAATATTATAATCCTTTTGAATTTAACAGTTAGTCTTGATAACAACCAACTGAACTCAAATAATTATCGATATCGATATTATTATTTGCATTGAAAAATTATTTTATCCGTGCTAGTAAATTAAAATAAATTATAATCGAAATCCTTATCCAAACTTTAATTATATATTATAGGTATGTGTGTAAATTCAGATAACTTCCAGCCCTTTCCCATTATCCACTGTAGGTACCCACCCACCAATATATTTTTACTGAATATTATTATTGTCTCACGGTAACCGTCTCGCGCTGCCACTGATAAGTATAGTGGTCGTGACCAATATGGTCTGAGATTTAAACGACGAAAACCCACTACGTTATTATAAAATCGTTGCACTATAATACACGTCAACTACAAAAAGAATATTAATCGCACACTCTGCAGAGACTCTGCATAATTATATTGTTATACCTAATATTAATTATTATTATACGTGCAAAAACTTGACTGCTGGTAAAACCCCACTGTTTGGCCATGGCCTTCCCACGCGTATTTGCATGTAATAATTGTATATGATTATTTTACGCTTCTCCGTATATATGATAATTAATAATATATTTAGCGTATACCTGCCATTTGAATGGTTCTGCTTTTTGTTTATATACATCTCCTGCTAGTTTTATACATATCAGTATCATAATTTACAATACGGTAACATCCTAAGCGTGTTTAACGTGTTTATACATATATAATATATTTAAGCATTATACGTATTATTAAATATATATTTTTTTTCATATATATATATATATCTGAATAAAACGTGTTTTCGGTTTATGTATACACCTCTAACTACTATACGAGGAACCTTATTCACGACTGTCTATAACCTTGAACTTGGTGAGAAAAAAAATATATATAATTGGGTTTTTGTTGGCTTCGATTTTCCTTGTGCAGACGTCCGACGATGACGTACCTACAATCTACATTATACGTTTACACGATTGTGTTTTGTATCCAAAGAAGCATAATATTATTATACACAAACTTATAGCATTAATTATAAATAATGTTCGTAATCAATTAATATAATAGTAATATTTAAACTAATAGCTATCAAAAAAAATGTGTTATATTATATTTATTTATTTGAATTATAAACGGGTTGCGCAAAATATATTATACTAAATATAATATCGATGGTTTGGAAGACAAAAAAAAAATATACACAACATTACAGCAAATTGTTCGTAAATCTATTAGGTAATTACATTGCTATTATACTTAAAAGTAGGAACTTTAGGTAGGTACTAAGGTTAATAATTGGTTATAGTGTGCATTTTTCTTCAACACAATGAATTCGAATATTGATTTAATAAGAAAATCTATAACAGTTCGTAGAATTACTAATTCTTTAAGTTTTGAATCTTTACCAAAGACCGAAGCCACTTGTTCATAAGTAAATTATTTCTAGAAATATGGATACAAAATGATCAAAGATTTCTTACTTTTAATTCGGACACGATAAAAACCAAAACGAAAAAACGCACATGAATAGACTACAAATTCCACTGCAGTTAGCCATTACTTATAAGTAAGAAAGTATTATGGTAGCCTGTTGATGATCGATTAGCCACTTTTCCTTTGTTGTAAAAGTTTGTTTGTATTAAATATGCTTGGAGGTTTTACCTTGGGGTCTAATATAAATCCTAAAGAAATGCAGGGTGACCCTATGTAAGTAAAGTATATTAATTTCCTAAGTAATCTATATTCTATATTATATTATTATAATATATTGTTCAAAAAACATAATAACTACCTATATAAAATAAGAAATGTATGTATTTAAACCTGTGGGTTACCGATCTGACAATGGAATGCTTTGAGAGTGAGTGATCTCTGTGCGTCGTAATGCACGTCATGCAGTCCTATATTCCATCGCCTTTTAGTTGGTGTTGCACACACACACTGCCCTGGGGGTCAGCCGATGCGTAAGAAAAACCTCAATCAGAAATCGGCCCCTCTTGTGGTTAGTGATACACTAAGGACATATGCCATGCTCAAACGCAAGAAGTAATGTAGGAAGTCGAATGTCGATGGATGACAATTATTGTTTCAACAGTATTTAATTACTTACTCTGGTCGACGGGCTACTGATACTTACTCATATTTCTTTTCGTTGACGAATAACACGCATCCTTTTAATACAGACATCACATTATACTTATTTAAGAGATATGAAACATTAATTATCTGTAATATATAAATGTAAAATAGTTATATTTCGTATAGAAAAATGTTTAATTGGTTGAGCTGTAATCTTTACAATTCAAAATATTATATAATAATGTATAGGTACAGTAAAATAATACAATATACAATTTAGGAATAAATAATAATGCAATAAATAAAATTACGAATTTAAGTTGTACATAACTAGAAAATTGTGATATAGGGAATTTGTATTGCATTCACTATGCGATTAAAGTTTTAGTGTCGACCAACACCATGTACGTGATGGTATGAACCAGGCCCACCGTGACCATGATGAGATGGTCCATGACCACCGTGTTCGTGATGATTTGAACCGTGCCCAAAATCTGGGCCATGATGTTCAGGACCATGATGTTCTGGACCGTGATGTTCGGGACCGTGATGTTCTGGACCTTTATGTTCTGAGCCGTGATGATGTGAGCCATGTCCGAAGTCTTGACCGTGATGATCTGAGCCGTGCCCATGTTCTTTGTGTCCACCATATTCTTCTTTATGTCCACCAAAGTCGTGTCCACCATATTCTTCTTTGTGTCCACCAAAGTCATGCCCACCGTGTTCTTCTTTGTGCCCACCGTGTTCTTCTTTGTGCCCACCATATTCTTCTTTGTGTCCACCAAAATCGTGTCCACCATGTTCTTCTTTGTGTCCACCAAAGTCATGCCCACCGTGTTCTTCTTTGTGCCCACCATATTCTTCTTTGTGCCCACCATATTCTTCTTTGTGTCCACCGAAATCGTGTCCACCATGTTCTTCTTTGTGTCCGCCATACTCTTCTTTGTGTCCACCGTATTCTTCTTTGTGCCCACTATATTCTTCTTTGTGTCCACCATATTCTTCTTTGTGTCCACCAAAGTCGTGTCCACCGTATTCGTGTCCACCATGTTCTTCTTTGTGCAAACCTTGATCTACTTTGTGTCCACCATGTTCTTCATGCTCATGGCTTCCACCACCGTATCCCGGTGCACACAGTGAGTAGCCGAACAATGCGATCACCAATGCGATTGACTAGAAAAAAACCAAAAATTAATTTAAATAACAAATTTAACTTTCAATCAATAGTTAATAGTTGTACGTATAAGTTATGAAATTCTATATTATTATTATAGCAATTATTTAAGTCGTAGAATAGGTATACTGGTACCTATTTATGGTAGGTATATTACTATAAACAGCGATATAGGTATGCTGTTTTATCAAACATACTTAAATGAAAATAAAACACCGTGTAACAATAACATCAGAAACGAGGCAATAATACTTTTTAACAATTTAAGCGAACCGGAACCGGAAACGTAGTAAATCAATAATGAATGCGATAGTTGAAGAAAAAACAATAATGTTATATGATTAGCCTTAGTTGATAAAACAAATACCTTGTTATAGGTTAAATTATTATAGTTCATCAATGTTAGAAAAGTACTATCATCAGTTATTGGGTATTGATTGGTAATTTAATGCATATCCAAGTTTTATTTTTATTTAATTTTAAATCACAATACAAATATTAGAAGTAAATACTTTAAAAACTGAAAAAAAAATTGTCAGATTACTTATGTATAGGTAAGAATATTATTATTTAATAAATGTTAATATAATGTAAAATAATACAATTCTTTTCAGATATAATAATATAATATAGTTACTGATCCTATATTTATTATAGTTTTAAGAACAATAATAATTTTGAATCCAGATTGGTATTGTTTAATAAATCATTTATTTATGTTTTAGAATGAATTTACTAAAAAAGTATATTTGTTAATGAAAATTTACAATTAAATAATTAAATTTTTTTCTAAAAACTCCGTGTTATAAAATATTTGAGTAAAAGTATTCAAATACTTTTTCCGTATCGAATACTTTTTAAAATACTTTTTATTTTGAAGTATTTAAATGGTATTTGAAATGTTTATTTTTATTATTGAATTCTATTTTATTGAATACTTTATTTTTATTCTTTTATTTATAATCCTTGTTAAATAAAAAAAAAAACGTGCCGCCGCGCTTCGTGGTTATCCTTCAACGTTATAAAAAATATTAATATTTTATAAATCAATTTAGGTCGATTAATAGCTTAATTAAATGTTTTTTTTTCTCCAGTCGTCCACAACTCGAACCAGTACGTCGGTACCAGAATAAGCTTATTAAGTCAATAACAAAATATATATTATGCAATAAGATTATTATACTTTATAATTTAACAATACGAAAATATAATTACTAACTATTATAGTAGGTACTACCTATTTACCAAGAAAATGTTTATCAATATAATCACTATCGTTTATCGTCGACGACGATCGATGACGGTATGGGATATCCAAATACATATAATATACCTCTGTAGAGAAAAGTTCATTGTTGTGAAGCAACTATAGCTAAAAAAGAACTAACATAGCTGATCAGCATTTTGATTGTTGAAAGAATCATGTTTTTAAAATTCATTAAACAAATTTTTGATTGTAACAAATTATATCGGAAATAAATAGAATTTTTTTTTTGTATTCGAAGATTATTTCAAATACTTATAAAAAGTTTTTGAGTATTATTCAAATACTTAAGTATTTATAGTGTTTCGGTAGTATTTTAAATACTTGATTTTAAAATGTTTTAAGTAATTACTTAAATGCTTCCTAAAAGTATTTTTACAACACTGCCGATACTCAATATAAAACCATACGAATAATAACAATTGTAATATTATAAACGTACATAATATACCTAATATATTGTATACTTAAAAAAGTATATTTTTAGAAAATGTCATTGTAATTAGCATGTTAGATTTAAATTTAAATATAAATCATTATAATGTATATAAAAATGATTCTGTGTGGAAACGGTATCAGCCATGACTTGTATAAAATATAATCAAATTTAATGATAAAAAAAAAATTAGTAAAAATCTAAAATATCTCGTGGCTATCAATAGTGTTTCGTTCCAGTAAATATTTAATTAAAGGTAGAAAAACTTATTAGGAATTTTCTATTAAATCATCAAGTATTTTTACCTAAGTGAAATATATATTATCGATAATACTAAAAAAATTTTCGAATATTTCTCATTACTATAAATATAGTTAAATATAAGTCAAAATATTTTGAACATTCATAGAAAATACTTTTACAATATTTTGTGAAAATATCAAGTGACTACAGTTTTCGTATCATGTATAGGAAATTGTCATATTAGCATGTAATAAAAGTCTTAAGTATTTAAGGTTATTATTTGTTGAGTTAAACGAAAAAAATAAAATCGACTTTATTTTTGGGTAAAATGTCTAATTTTTCACTAATTGTTGTTTTGTTTTTAATGACGGTTTCGAAAACTACTGAGAATTTTCAATTTTTACCTCCTAAAAGTACCAACTAGATTCATTTTCCTGTCAGAAAAGATGCTTATTTTTACTAACCAAAAGTTGATGATAGACATAAATATAAAACACACATCATTGTAAAACCAATACATTAATTTTTAAATTCAGTGCGCAGCGAATTCAAAAAAATTTTAAATTATTTTAGGTTAGATAACATACATCAGAACAATAGGACTTATGACTTATAGAGATATTGAAAAAATGTTTAAAGGTAAAGTGGATTTTAAAAATATTTTTATGTTATACATAAATTATTTAAATAAAACATATTATTCAAGTATATTATTGTATTATTAAAATGTTTGATTCATATGGTGTATATGGTGTTAATTACTCAATAAGAACGAGCTCAAAAGATAATCATGTCGTAACAATTATATTTTGAATAATATACGCTGATATTTTCACCTAAAATCATATTGGGGTAGGTTAGGTTAGGACGTGTGGTATTGACATGGTTATTGGTACACGTCATTTATAACGATATAATTTAATGAGTATTATAATTACCAGACGATTCATGTTGGCTAGTGAATGTGCAGTGTATTTTCGCAAGACGAGTTCGGCGGAAGTCTATTTGTAATCTTCAATTTGCGACTGCGATCGTTCGTCGGACGTGTACCGTCTTATATAAACGAGACCCGACAAAATTTTCGCACGCGCATGCTTCACCAAAATTACATATAATTATAAACATTTGTTTGGTATATGACTAGTTAATGAGCTGCAACCGAGATTAAATCTGGTTCGGTACACGCCTATGATGTGCATCAAAACATTTTTTGCGATAAATGTACAATATGTAGTTTTATAATTTAAGCCACTGCAGTGGTGGTAATGACAATGAGTTGGTGGTGGTGGTGGTGGTCGCCTAAACTGGTCAGCAGTCTTCGTGTTTTGCAAATACTGTAAGACCGCGTTTTTCGGTCTTTTCGCCTATGTATAACGTGTGCTCTATCCCTCCCTCTCGGTAATTATCTCTCTCTGTCACAAACACACTCTCACACCATGTAAAAATGTCGAAGATCCATGATGATAATTGATTCTGGTCAAAAACATTTAGGTACCTAAAAGTTATATTTAGGTTCATAATATTATAATGTATATTGTACGTCGCATTTTACGATTAATAGCAAAAACCGATGAAAATTTAAAAAAATCACCAATATTTTCGCAATCATTATTCGTTATAATAAGTCGGTACCCACCTACTATTAAAATATACCTAAAATCTTATACCATTGTTAACCATTTCTAGATAATTTGAAGTACATATTAACGACAATTCTTTATATTGGTATATTGTAGACGAATAAACTGCACAGTGCACGTGCATGAAGAAAAATTTCGCTTATTCGCTTATTGAGATTCGAAATGTGTCTATGGCTTATTTTTCAACTATAGGTAGCTAAAGGGTAGCTCAATAGCTCACACATGAGTTGTATTCAGCCCATTAAAAATAATTTATTTTTGTTTATTTAAATGGTTGCCATTGGTTACATATTAATTTACCATTAAAATTAGTAAAAATATTATGGTACATCGTACATAATATATACCTACATTTTTTTACAAATATATTTATGAAAAAAAAAAAACAAATCTTTTGGACGGGAATGCCGGTAATATTTTACACGGGCAAGATGGGCGGCGCCATCCATAGTATATTATGATATATAAGTAATAATATAGTATCGGATCATATTAACAAAATATTATTATATTAATCATCGATTCTACGACCTTCGTGATATTTTTGGCAAAAAAAAACCAAGAATTTCCCAATATATAATTTCCTACATGTTTAATATACATGCGTATTGCGTACTGCGTGTGAACAACAACAGTCGACGTACCTAATAATAATATCGTAATTTTTTTATACTGGTATTATAGCTCTCTAATAAATGCTATACAATGGCTAATCGAATTTTTTATTCATACTTTATCTACCATAATTTGTATAATTTTTTAACGTCGTCATTATTGATGCAAATCTCATCATTCCTGCCAAATGTACAGTTTTGGCAGATCCCTACTTAGGAATTTTGGGACCCGGGGCTAATTATTTTTTGGTGGGGCCTCTTAGCTTAAATTATAAGTACGGTTTATTTTTTGCTATTTCGTTTTTTTTTATATTCGATAAATTATACCATAAGTCTACAGCTAAGTGTTGTTAATGGGTGACTTCTAACCCGCGTATTATCCTGCTTGTTTACCCTATTTAAATACACTTATTGTGCTCTTAGTATAGATTATGTAATTCTTATAAAAAAAATAAAATAAAATAAGTCTACAAGTAATTTTGTTATTTAATTTTGATTGATTGATTTTTAGTATATGACTATATTTCAGTAATAACTGAGACCCTAATTATGTTGTGGCCTGGGGATGCAGCCTCCTCCCTCAGTCCCTCCTCATTTAGGGCTCTGGGTACTCATAGTTATGAAAAAAACCTAGCTATAATAATATATTATGATAAAATCTTCACGAGTACTAATATAATAGAATAAATTAATAAAAAAAAATAATTCTTGTGTTACCTAAATGTGTTAGCTCATATAAAAGTATAAAACGTTAGTGAATTTATTAAGTTTTAAATCTTAAAAAGAGAGTAAACAATTTTATGAGGAAAAAAACGGACAAATGATCTGCTCAGTTTTTTCTATAGAAGTTTTTGAGTGTATTTTGTGTGTTCACCATGAGTAGGTTAGTGCATTGGATGTGTTAAATTTGAATCCAATAATATATTATAAAACGATTTATTAGGTATTGGTGATTTATTTTTTTTTTGAAAATTTTTGCAAACTCATTGCAATTTTGTTTTTTTACATCAAGATTTCAAGAAAACTCTCGGATAAATAATTTGTAGTAAAGGTAGGGGGGGGAGTTCTCATTTGAAAAATAGAAGTTTGTATTGTCACAGGGCACTCTGGAGGTTATCGATCTGACAATTGTATGTGTGGGTGTTAACTGTGGTCGTGCTGGTCATCGCGAAGTCCTCTCTTTATTCGTATTTTGGTTAGTGTCACACACACTGAAATGTTACCAAAGTTAGTTATTAACGACGAGGGCGGAAAAATGTTAATCAGCAATCGGCCCAGGTTATTGCCTTTCCTTACACTCAAATCATTAGCCGAGCTCTATACTTTGGAAGTAATTTACGAAGTCGATGGTTCAAAATTGTCACAACAGTATTCATTTATTTTCCCTGGTCAGTGGGTCACTGATTGCTTATTCGTATGTCGTGTTGTTGACAAATTACATCATATTAGTTCTGATTTGCCTAATAAATATCCTCAGAAAAAATAACCAAGAAAAAAATAACCCTATAATAAAAATAACGTGTAACAGGCTTCAATGATAAATTTGTAATACAATTTTAATAATACATAAATATAAAACAAATAGTCAATTTTTGTTTCAGTCAAATTTGTTTTGAAATGTCAATAATATATTAAAACCATTTCCATGTGCGAAACTATAAAATGTCATTAGGATAGGCCAAATGATAAATATGGAAACAATTTTAATTACAAAATAAGTTTTTAATTTAAATTTTAATAAGCTAGTATGTTATCCAGACATCTAGTAGTATTAGGTCAGGCCGTGGCCTCACTTGCCTGAATCGTAGTTTCATCTATGACCGTATACACTCTAAATGGTTTTTATCCTATACAATAATTTATCATTATATCCAAATTTAATATTATTTGTGGGGACATAACAATTTTACATATGTTATACATTTTACTATACCCAATGACATACAAATCCTTAGATTAATTTTATTTTTTACCTATTTTATACTATTATATACCTATTTTGTACTTAAACTCATTCTCACTGTTCTATGGTAATATGGTATAGACTCGAAAGTTAGTAATAATAATCATATTTATGACATGTTCAGTGGGACCCATTATCTTCTTGAAGAATAAATAAAAAAACATTATATAATCTGATAGAAATATAAACTATTATAATAATTAAATATTAATTGTTGTACCGACTTCCCCATGACCACCTTTTTATAATTTTGCAAAATCTCATATGGGGATATTTTTTCACGGGGTAATTTTTTTGAGGTACAATTAATTCTTCATCTCATTATACTTAAATTAGTAATCGGGAAGATTAATCATGTAAATGCAAAATACTATTATTTTTTTATAAAAAAATTTTTAATTATAAGTGTTCTAATCTTTAAATTACGAAATCTTAAATAATAATGATTAGATACAGTATTATAACAAAATTTACATTTATCAAATTTAAAATTTAGCAATAAATAATAATGAAATAAATAATATTATAATATGACATTTAAGTTGTACGTCCCAGAAAATTGTGAATACAGGGATTGGATGGCATAAACGATATGATTTGAGTTTTAGTAATGACCACCGCCGTGATGACTACCATGTTCTTCATGTTCTTTATGTCCACCATGGTGTTCATGTTCTTTGTGTCCTTCATGTTCTTCTTTGTGACCACAATGTTCTTCTTTGTGTTCGCCAAATTTTTCCTTATGCCCACCATGTTCTTCTTTGGGTCCACCAAAGTCATGCCCACCATATTTATGTCCTTCATGTTCTTCCTTATGTCCACTATGTTCTTCTTTGTGTCCGCCAAAGTCAGATCCACCATATTTATGTCCTTCATGTTCTTTTTTGTGTTCACCAAAGTCATGACCACCATATTTATGTCCTTCATGTTCTTCCTTATGTCCAAAATGTTCTTCCTTATGTCCACTATGTTCTTCTTTGTGTCCGCCAAAGTCGTGTCCCCCATATTTATGTCCTTCATGTACTTCTTTGTGTCCACCATATTCTTCCTTATGTCCACCATGTTCTTCTTTGTGTCCGCCAAAGTCGGGTCCCCCATATTTGTGTCCTTCATGTTCTTTTTTGTGTCCACCAAAGTCATGACCACCATATTTATGACCTTCATGTTCTTCTTTGTGTCCAACATATTCTTCCTTATGTCCACCATGTTCTTCTTTGTGTCCACCAAAGTCGTGTCCCCCATATTTATGTCCTTCATGTACTTCTTTGTGTCCACCATATTCTTCCTTATGTCCACCATGTTCTTCTTTGTGTCCACCAAAGTCATGTCCACCATATTTATGTCCTTCATGTTCTTCTTTATGTTCATCATATTTATCTTTGTGTCCACCGTGTTCTTCTTTGTGCCCACCAAAGTCGTGTTCACCATTTTTGTTTACATCATGTTCTTCTTTGTGTACACCATATTCTTTTTGTCCATCATATTTATCTTTGTGTCCACCAAAATCATGTCCACCATATGTGTGTACATCATGTTCTTCTTTGTGTCCACCATATTTGTGCCCTTCATGTTCTTCTTTGTGTTCATCAAATTCGCTCTTGTGTCCACCATGTTCTTTTTTGTTCTCATCATGTTCTTCTCTATGTTCACCATGTTCTTCATGTACTTGGTGTCCACCATGCTCGTGGCTTCCACCACCGTATCCCGGTGCACCCAGTGAGTATCCGATTAATGCGATAACCAATAAGATCGACTATAAAAGACAAAAAAATGCATTTAAACAAAAAATGTAATACTCGATGAATATTTTATGGTTTTAATTATAAGTTATGAAATATATATTAATTATTTAAGTTATAGAATAGGTGTACTGGTGCCTATTTATAGTAGATATATAATTTATAAATATCGGAAAATATAATGTTGATATCTCAAATATTAGATAATGAAATATAAGAGTACGTGTAACCGAGATACACCTATATAGCATTATATACAGTAAACTATACATCATTCACCACAAAAAAAAATGCACATGGGCGAACCTAGAATATTTATAATATATTATTTACTCAAAAAATATATACTTTTAGATGTCACATTAAACTTTGGATAACATTTTATAACATTATTTTTTAATTTTTTTTTTTTTTTTTTGCTATGCGTAAACAATTTGTACCAACAGACACAATAATAGTATGAGTTATAAAAAGAAAACATGAAGAATTTGAATGAAGAAATTCGAAAAAATTCCAGGGGGCCTGTCTGCATATAATTTTAAGTGTTCTATATATAATTTCATGTTTAATGTCTAATGTATATGTATAATGTATGAACAGTGATTGTGTAAGCATACTCATCGCGCATTTAACCTTGAATAATGTTAATCCTAATTTGTTAAAGGGGACGCTTTTTAAATACAGTCAGAGGTAAGGGGAAATCGTGTCTTATACATTATACATAATATACTATACCAGAGAGTGGGCAAGTTCTGTAAAAATGTATTAGTAGAAGTTTTCACTTCTGTCACCGTCCCAAGAAGGTAATTCTTAATTTTTTTTTGTCTGTCATCAACATTTAGGGTAATAAAATTAATCTAATTATCGAAATCAGAATTTTTTCTGGTAGAAAAATGAATCTAGTTGGTTCGTTTGGAAGGTCAACATTTAAATTTCCTAATTCGATTTAATTTTTTTGTGTAACTCAAATATTAATAACCATAGACCTTTGAAATTTTCACTAACTATGTATATTATTATCTTCAATGAATACATGAATTATAACACTTTCTAAATATTTTGACTCTCTTTGAGATAGCTGTTTGCCTTAAAAAAATTTTCACTTAGTAAATAAACTTGAAAATTGAATGCTAGGTTCTTTATAATTTTCATAATACATATGCACAATTATTAAAATTTAAAAATAATTTTATAGTTAAACATTTATAAAATGTTCAACTTTTATAGCTAAGGATTGAAAACTTACAACAAGATTCCACATAAGTAGGTTATTCCGTAACCAAAATATCTAAAAACACAGTTTTTTTTATAGTTCTATTATAATAAAATTTGGAGGAAATTGCATATTAAAGAACCAAAAATAACGATTTTATTTATTTTGTTGTAATTTTATAATATTAGTTCAATATATCGGCTACCTTATTAATAATAAGTAATAACAATATAAATATAATATAAAATATCCACACTGACAACCCGTCACCGCTCACAATTGTTTTTCAAATACAAAGATATTACATTATCATTGAATTCAAATGTAATACCATCCATTTACAATGACCCACTTGTAACCTACTATACAGCAGAGTGACAGCCACTACCCACCTTTTTCTTAATATGAATTTAAAGTTAAAATGTTGACAAAATACATCAAAATGTCGACTATTTTTTTCAGTAAGAAATTCATAAAAATTTTCATTTCATTGCTAACATTAGAAATGTTGATACAAAACTCCCCAACATTATACTAAAAAAAAAATTTACCGGAAAGTAAAAATCATTTTTTTTATGAGCGTTTTATGAGCGTAAATTTAAAATGTTGACGCAATTGGATTTTCATCGGTAAATTAACGAAATTCCATCTATCAATTTTTGATGTTTTGTTGTAAGTAAAAAACAAACAATCCCAAATACTTGAAATGTTGACCAAGTATTGAAATTTCCGTTTTCCAAACATGTTAAAAGTTTCAAACAATTTTGACTCTTTTTGAGCTATTTATAGGAATGAGAAACTTTTTAAATTTTGTAAATAATTTTTCAGTTAGTAATTTTTTCATAGGTAAGATTAACAATTTTAATAAAAATTTCACATAAGTTTCTTACCTTAAACAAAAAAATAAAAAATTTACTCAAATGAACCAATCATTTTTTATGAGCATTTTAACTATTAAATTTGATTATTTATACACGTATGCTAGGCTGACACAACGTCTCAGCTCAGAATAATTTTTTTGGAATACAATGATTTATCATTGAATTTAAATATAACACATCCATTACAACAACTTGCTTTACAACTACTAGCTGTACAGCAGAGTGGTACCCACTTGTCCACCTTTTTTTATGTTCAATATATTTTAGATTCTGAGTGGAACGATGAATGTATTGATTTTACAATGATGTGTGTTTTTTTAAATTATTTTTTAATTTTTAATTTTTTTTTGTGTCTGTCATCACCTTTTAGGACAGTAAAAGTGCTTGGATTTTCTTCAACAGTATCTATTCTGATAGGAAAGTGAATCTAGTTGGTACTTTGGGGGAGTCAAAAGTAAAAATTTACCAGTAGTTTTCAAAAGCGCCGTGAAAAACACAAGAAAAATTAAGGAAAAACGGGAATTGTTACTCAAAATCTATTTCGGGAAAATCGATTTTGGTTTTTAGTGTAACTTTAAAACAAATTACCGTAGATAAGTGAAATTTTCACTAGTTGTTTATATTTGCATTTTCTATACATGATAACATTTTAAAATATTTTGATTTATTTTGAACTGTTTAGGGACATTTTCAGTTTCCAATTTTATTAGTTTTTTTTTTTTATGAATATCAATAAAAATGTATTAGTTGGTTAAAAAAGCTTGAAAATTTAATAGAGGGTTTCTAGTATATTGTTTCAAAGGCTGATTAAAAATATTAAAAATCCTTAGTCACAGTTTTTTTTAATAAGCATTTAAAGTCCAAAAATTAACAAAATATGGAAAAATCACGAAAGTTAGCAAATTATTTTGAGTTAAGAATTCGTAAAAATTTTTCTTTTTAAATCTAAGATTTGAAAATGTAATACAAGATTACTCTTAAGTTTGTCTACCTTTATCAAAAAAAAAATGTCAATAAGAAAGTCACATTAAATTTTTATAAGCGTCTGAAATTCAAATTTTTATCACATAGGATATTCACCCGATTTCTCATGTAGCGATTTCCTTATTTTGTTGTAATTCAAAAACCAATAACTGTAGATACATGAAAATTTCACTGAGTATTTATATTAGCATTTCATATACACCATACAATTTTCAAAACATTTTGATTTGTTTTGAACTGTTAAGGAACATTTCCAGTTTCCAATTTTATTAGTCTTTTTTTCTACGAATGTCAATAAAACTTTATTTGTTTAGTAAAAAAGTGTAAACATTTAATACAAGGCTCCTGATATATTGTTACAATATCAGTTGAAAAATATTAAAAATACATAGCACAATTTTTTTTATAAGCATTTAAAGATCAAATTTTGACAAAATTTATCAAAATCTCGAAAATTATCAATCATTGTAATTAATAAATTATAAATTGTTCAGTTTTTATAGCTAAGGATTACAAATTCAACACAAAGGTTCTCATAAATAGTTCATACTATAACCAAAAAATCTAAAAAATATATGAACACACTTATTTTTTACAGACATTTTAAATTCAAATTTGGACGAAATTACATATTAAAAAACCTAGAATAACTATTTTAGTTATTTCGTTGTGATTGTATAATATTATTCGTGGGTACTTTAAATTTCTAAAGTACACTTTTATATATCTATGATAGTGTCAGGGTTTGTTGTTGATGTATAACGCCTTATAAGTACCTAATGTATATTGTGATATGATAAATTTGGAATTTAGTATAGGTACCTATTATAGGTCATTTTTTTTTAATACCATAGATAAGTATATAATATGTCTTATACCTATACTGACAAAGCGTCTCCGCTCAGAATTTTTTTCCTATACAATGATATTATATAATTGAATACAAATTTAATACCATCCATTATACAGTGACCCACTTGTAACCTACTGTACATCAGAGCACCTTTTTCATTTATATTTTGTAAAAATTCTCTGTGTTAACAAATATAATTAGTGGCATGACTGAAATTTTTTTTTTAATTGTGTCATTAAAAGGCACGTTGAACAAATCCTATTTGCCATCCCTGCACTAGACAGAATGTTAAGTGGAAATTCTCATTGGGATAATACCTCTCCCTAGGAGTCATTACGCTCGACGACGAGGATTGTACAAAATGAAAAATATTAAAACCTATAAATAATAAAAGGTACATAATATATTAGATGTTGTGTGAGTCACTGTAATCCATTTGTTTAATTTGAATTCAATGATATAAAGCCGTTGTATACAAAAAGGTATTTTGTGCTATTTTCTGTTAGGCTATATTATAGGTACATGAGCATTGAGCATATTATTTTATGATATTATTACTTACCATCAAATAATATTTTATTATTAGTAAAAAAGTAGTCTGAATTAATTGTTAATAACTTTAAAAGTATGAAGTATCCAAGAATAATATTTTTAAATCATAAAAAAAATAAGCGAAATCGTTATTCTACGTTTAAATATCTATCTAATTTCGACTAAATATAATATAATATCAATAAAAAAATTTAAAAATATTTATTGTTTAGATTTTTTGGTTAACGTAATAGATATTATTTCAATTAAAAAAAACTTTGTTTATATCATTTAGTTAATGTTTAAGATACTTATGAGTTATGAGAAACTTTGTTTTAAATGTTCAATCCTTAGCTATAAAAATTGAACATTTTATAAATATTCAACTACGACATTATTTGCAAATTTTAGTAATTATGATGAATTTTGTCAACATTTTAACTTTAAACTCTTATAAAAATGTGCTAGTTTCACAGCAATAAAAGAAAATTGGTTATAACCGAAGTGAACTCTCGGAATGTACCACGAATCACGATACATACCGCGGGCTTGCGTGCTACCTTATCTCAAATACTGGTCGAAAGCACACCAGAGTACCTACGAGATAACCGGTACTAGTGTACTACCGTTACGACAAGAGGGTGACGGGGAACGCTCTCTTTCTCGAGTAGTAATCCGCGTCGTTGACCGTTACCTCCGCACTAACGTTTTATTATGCATCGAGTTAACGATTAACTTCGTTGACAATAATAATAGTTGTAATATTTATGTTTTTGCAAACCACTTTTTAAGGTGAATAATAATATAATAATATACTAACCTAGCGTGTTAACTTAATTATTGGTCGTGACAGGTAGTACCTACAACCTACAGGACCGTGTGTTGTCTTATTATATTAGATTAATATTATAAGACCCTCCGGTGTGGTAGTGCTCCGAGGTCAAGTGCGACCACCAACCGTCACGTCTTCCTACAAGCTCATCAACCCGACACCCCTCCCCCAGAGACCAACAGGTTGTATGAAAACAAAAACAAACATTTTTTTTGTTGTACGTTTTGATTGAAAATTTCAGTTTTTTCTTATTTTTTTTTTGTTTTCCCCGGGTGATTTTATACGCTTTTGAAACAAAATTTTTTTTTTTAAATTACATCATTGTAAAATGAATACATCGCTCAGAATCTAAAAATGTTAAAAACTGTTTGTTGATTTGTTAGGTAACCTATATCAGAATAATATGACTTTTAAGAAACTAAAGATATATTGAAAACTTTTTTAAAGGCATTAGAAGATTTTTAAATTGTTTAATTCTATACAATAGTTATTTAAATAAAAATATTCAAGTGTAACAGATGGACCTAAAAAATTAAATATCTATTGTTCTAATCGATATTTTTTATTTTTTAATAATTTATAGCACTTGCACTACAAGTACTATAACCTTTTTTTTTTTTTTAATACTGATAAAATGTTGTTAAAAACGTTAAATCAATAGTAGTTTATTTTTATAATTTTTTTAAATGTCAATATTTTTTTAGAGTAAATTTATTTGAAACGTAATAGATTTTTTTCTAAATATTCTGTTTGAAGTTATTTACTATCTAGATAATTTTGATAATTTTCGTCATACGAGTTCAACTATTAAAGCATTAATTTTTTTTTAAATTTTTTATGTTATTCTGTTATACTCCTTTTTTACGTATTATTAAAATAGTACCGATTACCTAATATCTAAATAAGAACGTGCTTAAAATATATAATAGAGTCATAACAATAATATTTTGAATATAGGCGTAGGTACTGGTCAGGCTACTATATACTATTTGCCTATAACAATGACATTCAAATATTCAACAGGTATAGTAAATTATAATTACCAGACGGTTCATGTTGGCGAGTGAATATGCTGTGGATTTTCGCAAGACAAGTTCAGCGGACGTATAATAGTAATCTTCTGTTTGCGACTGCGATCGTTCGTCGGACGTGCACTGTCTTATAAACGAGCATGCCCGCGGACAGGCTTTTCGCACGCGCAAGTTAATTATGCATCGTCAGAATATACATAATATTATAAAATTTGTATGGTATAATGATTTAATGATTTAATGATTTAATGACCTGCTGTGATCAATCTAGTTCGGTATACGCAGAGGCGTGCCTAAGTGCATTTTCAACTGATTGGGGGGACTGTTAAAGGTAGGTAATAATAATACATTTAAATAAATTATATTGGTAGTACCGAAGACACAAATAAAGTGTTTAAGGGGTCAATGAGGGGTTATAACCCCTAACCTCCTCCCAACGATACTTTACTAGGTATACACACCTACAGCGTGCATCAAAACCGTTAAATACGATTAAAGTACTTGTATTTTTATTACGTAGAATGGTAGTTGTAGTGCTTGCGGTGGTCATCATCTAAACTGGTCAGCAGTTGTTTTGTTGTGCAAAGACGGAAAGACCGTGTTTTTCGGTTTTACCGTCTGACCGATATAGTGAATGCTCTCTAACTCCCTCTTCCTTATTTTCCAACTATTTCACAAACACACACTCACACCCTATGCAAAAGTTGAAGATCCATGATAATGATTGATTTTGGTCAAGGCACAAAAGCATAGAGGTACCTACAAGTTATATTTGGGACTTGGGTACATATAAATTTATAATCTATATTGTAAGTACGGGGGTGCACTTTAAGATTAAGTGCAAATACTGAAATAAAAAATCAATATTTTCGTCATCATTATAATAAACATAATATAATAAGTTTATCTGACTAACATAATATTATTTTGTACCTTAGATCATATTATACTATAGTCTATAACCATGCACAGATAATTTGAAGATATAGGAGACAAGTCTCTTTATTAGACGATAATAAACTGAGCATAAACGAAGAGAAATGTCCATAATTTACCATTTTGAATTTGATATATCCATTTGTATATAGTTCTTGAGTGTTCTGTAACGGTTCGTGTATCTTTTAAACGACTATACACGGAGCTTTATGTGTCAATGGAAGTAATATTTGACACATTTACTAATATTAACTTCTCAGTTTTAGGCTTTAGCTAATTACTAGAGAACCTTTTTTTTTCCATGTTAAATCTCTACATGGGAGCCAAACTGTTTACAGTTTACACATTGCTTAGCTCCCACGCAACATCGTAACATTTGTATTATTAAAGTACCTTTTTTTTTTTTTTTTTTTTCAGTTTTGAACCGACGGCGTCGCGGGAACAGCTTTCGCATTACTTCCGCGACGCCGCCATCGTTTATTAAATTTAAAATACATGGTAGTACATTTATAATTTAATTTTTACACCATTGATTAGTCCCTTAGTGGGTGCACATTGAAACTAATTATTATCATACATTTTATTAAGAAAAAAAAGATTACATTGTTGGCTTAAGGCCCGCTGTTCGCATTTCTTGACTTCCCGACCCGGCTTTGGTGCCCGCCAGTCGGAAAGTCATGTTCGTATCTTCTTGGCCCGGCTTGATAGCCAGCCGGCCTCGAGTCTCGTACCGAGCTTCCTTCTCCTTCTGATGTACTGGAGGGTGCTCCTCGCCGTTGTTGGTTTTCCAGTTTTCCTTCTGTCTCCGTCGTTGTGTACTGTCGTCTTCCGGGATCCGATTGGATCGCTGCGTCGCGTGGTGTCTGCATCTGCAGCCCTTACTTCCTCAGCCACCCTGACGATGACTAGTCGTGCTGTGGGTGTTCTACTCCTGCGCAGCGGGCCCTCGAACCGCTGTCGGTAGTTTCGCTGAGTTTTCGGGGTGTAGAAAGTTGCCGTTGCTCTGCTGCTTTTCGCTCGTCTCCCGGAATCCGTCCTCGGCTGTTGTTGGTGTCGGATGGGGGCGATGTTTGCCCTCTCTGGTCTGTTGCCTGCCGGTGTTTTGGTTTGTTCAGTTTTCCTTCTGGTTCCTCCGTTCGTTCATCGTCGTGCTGCTCGGTGCTTGGATGACCGGTCGGCGGTTTCTTGAGGCGTTCTGACTAGCGGCCTTTCCCAACAATCGCGATCACCCGGACGGTGACGAATCGTGCTGTGGGCGTCCTACTAATGCCCCGGGGCATGCCTGCCGCTGCGGGGCAGTTTCGGATGTTGGTACTGAGCCGCTTAGTTTACTAACCGCTGGGTCCCCGTCTAACCTTCCCGGTCGTCTGTGCATCGTCCGTGTGGTCGGTAGTTGGAGGGCGTTGTTGGCCCTCTCTGGTCGCTGGTGTTGACCCGCCGGTGTTCGGTTTTATACAGTTTGCCTTCTGTGCCTCCCCCGTTGGCCGGAACCGGACTTCCGTTTCCAGTCGGCACCGCGTGGAGGTGGGGGTAGGACTCTGCCGACCATTATTAAAGTACCTAGGATGATTAAAAATAACCTATCCTGGACAACAAATTCTACTACCTAATTTAATTATAGTTCATACATCAATAGGTATTAGGTACCAAAAATAACGTTAAAAAATATAATAACAATAAACGCAAAAAATCAAATAACGTTTGAAAGTACAACAATTAAAGATGAACATTCAAATTGTATAATTTTTCAATATCCGAAAACGTAAAAACGATATATTTATTTTAAATTTAAGCCCTGCTTTCTTGTTTTTATTGCATATTTTTAGAACACAATAACACATTTATGCAATTTTAAGTGCTATAAAATCCCAACCAGGATGATAATTATGTTACCGTTATGATTTACACGTTGCTCTATAATTAATGGTAAATAGTAATTATAATAATAAATATTAAGGTAATATATTAATGCATCGACTTGAGAGTGTTTTTTTGTCTATAGCTCTCTCCATTTCTCTCTCTCCCTAATTCAGTCTCTGTTTCACTAACACACTCGCTCCCTATGCTAATTGTAATCCGTTACATTAGTAATCCGTGGTAATAATTGATTCGAGTCGAGGCGGAAAAGCATATTATACATTTATACAAATAGTATAATATAATAATATAATAAAATATTGTATATATTATTATGGTTGTAGTCTGGCGATTGAGATAAAAAATTTAAATAAAAAATCAATTTTATCGAAATCATTATATAATATTATAAGTATTTAGGTACCTACGTAGTATTATAATATACCTTAAATCATAATATACTTTTGAGAGATCCAATTCCCCTATAATTTGAAGCACATATTATTAGCGACAAGTCTATGAATTGGACAAATAAAATGCTCATGGAAGAAGAGAAATGTCGCATATTTATCAATTTGAAACGACCAATGGCTAAACATGCGACGGTTAGTCTTACGCATACGCACATCAAGCATCCAATACAGTGCTCGTCATTCACAAGTGCAGTGAGTTAAATTATGATTAATATTTAATACAATGTATTAATAATATTTTCTTATAGTAATAGATGGTCTTAAAAATGGTCTTACTTGCCTTACACAAGTAAACAATTTTTGCACACACGTATTCAACACAACTGTCACAATACCAAAATCAAACTGACTAAATAATTGTCCAAACGAGATTTTCATGCCACAAGGCACGGACAGTCAACAGTTAAGCAGGGTTCACACTATACAGGATCGTATCGTTTCGTATTTTTATGTTTATTCCAAAATGCAATACCAATGATATGTATATTGCACATGGTAATTTTTTTTTTGTTCATCACTTTTCCATACATAAATGTAACCACACGGTTAAAAGTTGAACAATGCAGTATCGTGTGGTAGCTGTGATAACTGAGATTATTTTACACGACACGGTGTAGTGTGAACCCGACTTTATAATAATTATTGTTGTAATCGTAGTGACCATTGTTGCCAATCAAAGTCAATCCGGCGTAGTCACTAGTACCTACCTATAAATCTCAAAATACTTTTCAACGAAATCAGCGATCGGCGATTGCTACAAACCTTATCCTGTAATAATTGGACTATTTATGTAACTATTTATATCTAACGTTTAATATATTATAATATGTTACGATATGCTATAATGTATAATTTCATGTAAAGATCATCATCCTCGAATATCAACCCCCCCCCCTACGGGATGCGCCACTGCTTAGATCATATTCTATGGATGGAGCCATGATTCATGACTAAATAAACAGGCTTGTTAGCCAAATCGTTCTTATAATTTACGTAAATTGTACCCTACATGAATAAACGAATCATGAGTTATTTTTCAACCCCCCAATGTTTTTGAGATGTAAACTATCGGTTATAAGTTCAGGACACACCTCACACATAGTTACAAAGATACATAAAATTAGAAGTTATTCATAAGTACAATAATATAGAAAAAATACAGGAGCTTGCAGACATGCCTGTTTATTAAGTCATGGATAAATCCGTATTATAATATATTAATATGATCTAAGTAGTACGAATTCTACTAAAATATATTAATTATAATTTAAGCATTTACATCATCGAACGACCTTCGCAATATTACCAGTAAAAAAACTGAGTAGTACTATTTAGTGGCTCAATTTACTAATATTATATAATTTAGTACTCTCCCTCTTGGACGTTTTTTTATTGATAACATTTTTAATATAATTTATATAAATTGTATGATGATTAAATCTATTAATATTCATAATGTATAACAACAAACACTACTTGTTTCAACCAACCATCCCAATCGTCGCCCCTTCCCTACAAAAACAACAAAAACAGCTAATGGCCATAGTTGACTAGTTGAGGGCTTAAAGTTCAATGAAAAAAAAAAAATACCTGTATATAACAACTAGGTATTACACCAGCGAAATAAATATATAGCTGACGATATATTGAATTATTATCTTTATAGTTCGAAATCTTATACAACAATGTATAGGTACAGTATTATAAACAAATTTACAATTTAGGTATGAATAATAATGAAATAACTAATATTACTATTTGACAACTCTGTTATAATATGACGTTTAAGTCGCAGGTACGTCCAAGAAAATAGTGATATACGGGATTCGGATGGCATTTACGTTGTGATTGAAGTTTTAGTAGCAATTAAAAACGTGTCCCTGATTATTTGGACCCTGTTCAACTTGTCTGTATTGTTGTGAACCCACACCGTATCCTGGATTATTGCCATATTGTTGTTCTGGTGCAGGATATCCACCATGTTCCGGTTGTCGGTATTCACCCTGTCTTTGATTGCTACCACGACCTTGAATTCTACCACCTTTGGTGCCTTCACCTTGTACTTGGCTGTTACCATATTCTCGGTTGTTACCATTTCTTTGGTTGCTACCATTTTGAGGTTTTGGGTTGATCTGTTCGTGTTCTTCTTCTAAACCATATTCACCGTACTGTGGTGCACCCAGTGAGTAACCGACTAATGCAATAACCAATACAATTGACTAAAAAAGACGATAAATTAATTTAAACGACACATTTTCTACATATAAGTTATGAAATAAATTATAGTATATTTTTTAATTTGCAGAATAGATATTCTGGTACTTATTTATAGTGGGTATATTTTTCAGCATAAATATATTAATTATATAATAATATAAATTTATCTAAATAGGTCCGTACACTTAACTGTAAAAACCGTACGTATCGACCCGTGTTGCTTGCTCCCAGATGATTGACCACACAGGATTTTTAGCATTAAATCCTGTCACTTATGAAAAACGTGTTCCAACTACAACCGTTCCTAGCCTCTAGAAGATAAAATACTTTAAATCGTAAAATAAATGTACGGATTACATAAGTAGTAATATTATTATTGAAAATAAAAGTAAATACTATTAAATACTATTTCATTTTGAAACATTATAAAATATTATTAATATCAAATATGATAGTTAATTATAATCCTCTAAGTATAATTAAGGGGTGCCACCATCAAGCTAATCAGCTAATCAACCCACATCCCATTTACTTATACGGATAGCAAAACAATATAGATACACTATTGAAATGGTCGAGGGAACAGTTTGCTTATTTTTGGCTTCCGTAATTGTTTCTATGGTTGTTGGACCGGTGGGTCGTATAGGTGATTTAAATTTCACTGTCATAGTAGAAAGATCGTTCAAAATTAAAAGTGATTCAAAACATTTAAATAAAAAAAAATGTTGAAAATCTATTCGTTGATAGGTTAGCCCGGTTAGGTAACATACATTAAAACAGTATGACTTATAAGACTAATATTTACCAGACAATTCATGTTGGCGAATGAGTGTGTTGTGTTCTTTTCACAAGAAGAGTTCAGCGAACGTTGGAGGACTGTTGGCAATCTTCGGGTTGCGACTTATGATCGTTCGTCGGACGTGCGCTGTCTTATAAAGGGAGTCTGCGGACGGGCTTTTCCAAGCGCGAGTATAATATGCATACATGCATAATATACATACGCTGTTATAAAATATATTGTGTATCATGATTTAATGACCTACCGAGGTTAATCTAGTATGGTATAAGCCTACGGGTTTTCCCGATAAATTTAGACGTAACGTTATCATATAAATTGTGGCCGTGGTAGTAATACATAATAATGTTGACGAGTCGGTGTAGGAGTAATCACCAACACTGGTGTAACGTTCGCGTATTTTTCGGTTTTCCGCAGACCAATAACGAGGTTTTCGGTTTTTAATTCTCCTGGATTAAACAAAATCTAGCTGTATAAGGTATAATATAATAATATTTATAATATATTTATTATTGAATCTTCATATATTTCAAAGTAGGTGCAAATTATACAATATTCAATGAAAATAAATTCCAAAACAAATAAACAAATAGTAGGTACTCTGATGGAGCTGTCCCAGAAAAACAAGCTTGTGAAAGGAAGCAGCAAGTTAAAAGAAAGTTATACAATGTAAATTAAACATAAAACAATACTAAAAATGCATGCAAAATCTTAAAATAAATGTTCAATAATTACTATATGCCAAGTTTAGTGTAACATATAAAATAAATCTTAATACACAAAATATTAAATGTTTCTTTATATAAAAAGTAGATACACAAGATTTAATAGTCTTGAGAGACTAACATAATATTATGTACATAATATATTTTTTTCACCTTACAATTTCTTATTAACCGGTCTATTATGGTTTACTACATCTTTAAGCTTGTGTGATAGTGATGTTTAAGTTTATAAGCATCAATATTTTTATCAAAACAATATGAAAAAAAAACCACTATAAATATATAATCTAGATAAAATAGTTATATTTTTGATATTTATATAAACATCACCATAACCATATTATGGTTTTTCAATATAAATCTCAATAATGAATTTATTGCAACATTAATAGTTTATGAATATACACTTAAAAATAAATATCCCATACAACTAATCCATCACATAATAATATAGATTTCACTAAAAATGTATATACTAATCATAAATAATTAATATTAAGAATTTACCTAGTGTTGTAAATCGAAAAAAAAATTTCTTTCATTATTAGTTACATATTTGGTCAAATTTACATTAATATAATATACGAGAGATAAAAGAAAAATCCTTCTTTAATTCAACGAAGTCAGGAGCGGATCTAGAAGATTTCAACAGCGGGTGATCCAACAGTCCATAAAATTGTTTGTAGTACAAAAAATGCAGTATGTAGTACGAAATTTAAAAGTGTGTTATATTATACAGAATATAATCAATTATCACCACGGATCTTCGACCTTTGCATAAAGGGTCAGTGTGTGTTAGTGAAATAAAGAAATTGAGAAAGAGAGATAGCCGTGAGTAAGGGAGACGCACTCGCTATCGGTCTGCGGAAAACCCAAAAACACGTGAACGTTACACCAGTATTAGTGATTACTGCTACACCGACTCGTCAACATTATTATTTATTACTACCACGCAGTCCTGTAAAGTATTTGAGTAAAAGTATTTGAGTAAAAGTATTCAAATACTTTTTTAAGTATTGAATAACTTTTTAAATACTTTCAGCATGAAGTATTTTGAATGGTATTTTAAATACTTTTTTTTGTATTAAATACTTTTTGGTATTGAATACTTTGGTTTTTTATTTCGAACATTTTATTTTTATTCGAAATAATTTTAGAAATTTTAGGTATAAATTAAGAACACAAAATAGGTAGTATCACCAATGGGTGGTTTCTTCCCTCAAAAAAAATCATACGCAAATACCCTATGCACGTTTGCTTATTGTTCTAGTTAAGAACAGATTGTAAATTCCATGTAAAAATAAAAAAAAAAATGTAATAAACATTTATTTGATAAATAATAAATAAAAATGATTATAAATTTACTACCTATGTGTCTATATTACAATAATTAGAAACCCACTTTAAAAACCAAAAGTATTTGAAAAGTATTCCAAATACTTTTTCAAAGTATTTGAGTGGTATTTGAAATACTATACAATTAAAGTATTTGAGTAGTATCTTAAATACTTAAAAAAAAATGTATTTGAGTACTTACTCAAGTACTTTTCAAAAGTATTCTTTACAGGACTGCTACCACGGCCACAATTTATATGATAACGTTACATCTATATTTATCAGCAAACACCGTACTTAGATTAACCTCGATAGGTCATTAAATCATGATACACAATATATGCATTTATGCATTTATATGCATTTATGCATAATATACTCGCGCTTAGAAAAGCCCTTCCGCAGATTGCCAACAGTCCTCCAACGTTCGCTGAACTCATCTTGTGAAAAGAACACTACACACTCACTCGCCAACATGAATTGTCTGGTAAATATTATAATACCTACTTATTAAATTATATTGTTATATATAAGTCTTGTACTTAAAACCGTGTTAGTACCAAGATCATGTACGATTTTAGGTGAAAATATGAGACTAGGTATGTTCAAAATATAATTGTTACGCCACGATTACCTTTTAAGCTCGTTGCTATATAGTAATTAATATCATAAATTTTAATAATAAATATAGTATTTTTTATTTAAATAATTTTTGTAAAGCATACAACATTTTAAAATCTACGAATACCTTTAAAGGTTAAGAGGCTATAGGAGGCTATAGGAACGGTTGTGGTTGGAACACGTTTTTTCATGTGTGACAGGATTTAATGCTAAAAATCCTGGGTGGTCAACCATCTGGGAGCAAGCAACACAGGTCGATACCTACGGTTTTCACAGTTGAGTGTACGGACCTATTTAGACGAATTTATATTATTATATAATTAATATATTTATGCTGAAAAATATAACCACTATAAATAAGTACCAGAATATCTATTCTGCAAATTAAAAAATATACTTTAATTTATTTCATAACTTATATGTACAAAATGTGTTGTTTAAATTAATTGTCTTTTCTAGTCAATTGTATTGGTTATTGCTTTGGTCGGTTACTCACTGGGTGCACCACAGTACGGTGCATATGGTTTAGAAGAAGAGCACGAACAGATCAACCCAAAACCTCAAAATGGTAGCAACCAAAGAAATGGTAACAACCGAGGATATGGTAACAGCCAAGTACAAGGTGAATGACCAAAGGTGGTAGAATTCAAGGTCGTGGTAGCAATCAAAGACCGGGTGAATACCGACAATCGGAGCATGGTGGATATCCTGCACCTGAAAGATATGGCAATAGTCCATTACACGGTGTGCGTTTAGAACAATACAGAAAAGTTTAACAGGGTCCAAATAATCAAGGATACGGTTTTGATCGCTACTAAAACTTCAATCACAACGTAAATGCCATCCGAATCCCGTATGTCACTATTTTCTTGGACGTACCTGCGACTTAAACGTCATATTATAACAGAGTTGTCAAATTTTAGTCAAATTTATTAGTTATTTCATTATTATTCATACCTAAATTGTAAATTTGTTTATAATACTGTACCTATACATGGTTGTATAAGATTTCGAACTATAAAGATTATAATTCAATATCGTCTATATATTTATTTCGTGGGTGTAATACCTAGTTGTTATATACATATACAGGTATGGTTTTTTTTTTCATTGAACTTTAAGCCCTCAACTAGTCAACTATGGCCATTAGCTGTTTTTGTTGTTTTTGTAGGGAAGGGGCGACGATTGGGATGGTTGGTTGAAACAAGTAGTGTTTGTTGTTATACATTATGAATATTAATAGATTTAATCATCATACAATTTATATAAATTATATTAAAAATGTTATCAATAAAAAAATGTCCAAGAGGGAGAGTACTAAATTATATAATATTAGTAAATTGAGCCACTAAATAGTACTACACAGTTTTTTTACTGGAAATATTGCGAAGGTCGTTCGATGATGTAAAAGCTTAAATTATAGTTAATATTTAGTAGAATTCGTCCTACTTAGATCATATTAATATATTATAATACGGATTTATCCATGACTTAATAAACAGGCATGTCTGCAAGCTCCCGTATTTTTTCTATATTATTGTATTTATGAATAACTTCTAATTAGGTGTTTTACCCTGGCACCCCAAGTTCAAAATTTCGATTTGAAAACTGTGTGGTATTATGTTATTTATTATGTAACATTTTGTAACCACATCGGTGCCCCGGAAAACGGCGATACAAGTTCCGGGTGCCAAGGTAACGTTACCCCGGCACCCCAAACATTAAATAATTAAAATTTCGACTTGAAAACTGTGTGGTATTATGTTATTTATATTACCAACAACTCAACCTCAACCAAACTGTGATATATTTAATAGGTACCTACGACAAAGTATACATGTAGGTTAGTTATTATTATCATTTATTAAATAATTTTTATAATATTATGTGTAGGTACTTTATTTATACTTTTAGACCATAATGGACCAATATATTCACTAATATCACTATTAATTCATGTCCATACATATAATATAACTATACCAGTGGCGTCCGCAGGGGGGGGGGGCTAAAGGGCTAAAGCCCCCCCCATTACCCGTAGTATTATTATTACTATTTCAAAAAAATATTAATCAAGTTAAACTGTCAACTATAGTAAGCAAGACGTAAATTTCAAATATGTCTTACCAGAATGAATTAATTTTTGAAAAAACATTGTATTTGTAACATACCAATTTTCATAAATTATCTGTAATTTTTGGGTAAAAGTATGAACTATTTGTATGAAAGACCTTGTATTAAATTGTCTAGCCTTAGCTATACACATTTAATATTTTATAAGTTATGAACTACAAATTAACTGTGGTTTTGACAATTTGGACTTTAAATGCTTATAAAAAA